ATACAAGCAGGGAGAAATGTTTCTTATGACAGCTCGAAGCTGCTTCGGGAAATCAAGAGATGGCAGTCCGGACCTGGTAAATGTGCATCACATGGGGCGCCCCTAAGGAACGACTACCGCAGAACCTACTACTAACTTTCAAACATCTAACATGAACTGAGGGTGATGTTCGATAATGATAATGGAGCATTTCATGACCTTCAATGAATAAGGTAAATCAATAAGCTATCAGTTGGACAAAAGGCATTAGGTTCCATGTTTAATTGTGAACTCTAAATTGGAATTTCCGAATAACTCAAACTGCTTTGAGTATTCTTAAGGGACATAACCTCTTGGCCATATACATAAAAACTGAGCCTGTGCGGTTTAGCTTTTCAATTAGAGGTATAAAAGAGAGGCTGTCGAAAATGCTCAATTTCGTCGACCTGACACTCCAGTTTGAGCACTCAAATATTAGTGGAAAGAGAAACTTGAAGAAAACTAAGACGGCTATTGTACAGGGCAAGGAATTCTCTGCCAAACAGTATGAACTTCAATGGCAAAACTTTTCGTCTTCAGCGCAATATTTCGAGTGAGAAAAAACGCCATTGCTAATGGGCCGACCCAGTATGTGACGGTTTGAGGAAATCACGATACTGCGGAAGTAAGAAGGTGTACGTGTCCATCTGAAGAAAAGACGGACAATGGATTAACAGTGGTTGAGGGTTCACCCCAGTCTATAGGGAAAATGCCGATTCCGCGGAATTCCGGCGTTTCAGCAGATTCTGCATTTCTGTATGCACAGATTCGTCATTTCGTCAGTGTAGCCTTGTATGAACGTTGCCTAGTGCAGCCGACGGATTCACAATTTTGGTGGAACGATGGTCCAAGTTAAGACTTAATCGAACTGCGAGAAAAGCAAAAGTCCAACCTTATCTAGCTGCTCAATAACGTCATTGGCACGTTCGCACCGCGCCCATTTCTTTTCGACCTGCAACGAATGCGATATAAGTGTTTTAGGTTGTATAGACTCAAGAATAATGCCACGCGCATACACTCATGGGAAAAAATATACCTGTCTTAACTTCATGCTTAGGTCACCTATTTGATTGTTAATATATCCAGCATTTGTCAAAAGAGGGGAGCTGCTCAATGTGTTCAACCAGTAAGTGTTCCATAAAGCAGATAGAATATGGGAATCTGTAAGGTACAAATTACGGAGTCACTCGATGGCAGGATTGGAAGTGTGAAAAGCACTCACCTAATTCGGATTTGAAAAAAGTAACATCTAACGAATAGTACTGCTTGCAATGTACACCAAAATCTTCGATTTTGCTCAGAGGAATAGACTGATACTCAGATGGCCCTTCTTCGACAGGAGGTTGATATCCTTGGGGGTAAGTCCGGAAAGCTCCTATGTCAACCTGCCAACATTCAAGAATTAAAGAAATTTCTTTAAATGATCTGTAGGGCGCTGTTTATCGACGGAGGGGGGGGGGGCGTGCGTGCAAGCACAACGTAAGGATGACAACATTTAATACAGGCAAAGATATGGAAGATAGTGGTGAGATTGGGAACATATTTCTCAGTTCTATGAGTATTACTGGCACGTTACTGGAGAAATGGAGGACGCTATGAGGGCCGCTATTCGCCAATCGCGATATCATTCCAGAAGACATGCTATTTCGAAGTAGGAAACAGGAGTCTCCCTTTTTTCAACGTCATTCTTGCTCTAATGTGACCAAATTCAGAAGGGGAGGGGGCCGTATGGGTTAACAGAAATGTTTCCATGGAGAGCGTGCTTTCGGAGTTCGCAGCCTGCGCGATGGATCCGTGTTCCTCCGCTATCACATGCTGTAGTTTCACACCTACTCCTCCTCGACGACCATGCAGGCAATTTGTTATGCATAAACTAATGAATCCTATTACCATAACATTTACAGAAGACGAAGCTGTTATACACAGCATCGTTGCAGATAGTATGCGCAATCCTAAAACACTAGGATAGCCTTGCGCCCAGCTTGACTGCGTGCATGACGTGGTTCTGAGAGAGCCGAGATCCCGCTCCTTCGCTGCATCGCCTCGAAAACTGAAGGGATCTACTTGAGAATTTTCGATGAATTAAAGGCCAACATCGTGGGTGATGCACTACACCGCATAGTTCTTGATTGAAAATGGCTGTAACAGCTGCTCGCCACTTTCCCAGAGCCTCAGTAGAAGGTTCTGCGTTCCATCTTGCTCAAGCGTATGATCGCAAAAGGACAAGCCTGGGCTATCGCGGTTCGCCACTGTGGATCCGCGGCGCACTGCGGCCGGCTGGTCTGCCGCGTTCATGCGCTGCAACCGCCGAACCAGTACTGCGTAGTGCGCGCGCTGCTGGCCTGGATAAAGTGGCCGCGGAGAACCGCTTAGCGCTATTTGGCCTCCCTTCCCTTTTGGGAGGAGAGCACCCCTCTCCTACCAGTAGGAAACGTTGATGCCTGGCTCACGTGGAGTGCAGGCCCAAGTGGCACCTGACGCTGCAGTGGCTAGTAGCTCGCGCAAGCCGGCAGAGTGCCGCCTTACCGCTCTTACCGCGAACGATGTCAATCAAAAGACCGACGGAGTGGTGGTCCAGGAACGGCAGGGATGAGAGTAGAAGATGGTGATCGATGTGAATGCTTTCGCCGCAATAAATGTAAGTGTTTATAATATGAGTTATGTGTAATTAGCGGTAGATACTGCGGAGCGCCAGGGCGGGGACCGACTAAAGCGCTGTAGGCTGTTGCTTCACGTTACACCTCATCGGTTGTGCGTCCAGCGACCAGGGAATCCCTTAGTCTGGTGCTCGTGGCCGGCCAGAAGTAGCCAGTCTGGGGAACAGGGCTACCGCAAGCTCCCCCCACAATCCCCCGGGATAGGAACCCTGTAGACCCTCGGGGAGCGGAGGCTGCACTGGGGAGAGACCAGTGCGGTCCCCGAGGAGGACCCTTAGGATGACGTGAGTTCCTGGATTCGGGACTCACGGGGCTCTGAACCACCTCGATGCGTCGTGTTGGAGGGGTCAGGAGGGCGACTGCCTCTGAACCACGACACGGCCTAAGGAAGTACATGCAAGGATTTGGGAAGAGATGAACGAGTTGTTGAATGGTGGAGCTCAATCAAAGGTAAACTACCATGAGTTGTCTTATCGAAGGTCTCCAAAAACTCAATTATGAAGCGCGCGCAACCCTCAAACGCCTTCAAGAGGTTGGAAATTTATCACCCATTACACTGGTCACTTTTTCCACAATGTTCCTCTCAATTTTTTACAGGATCCAACCCATGCCAGAACGCTGCAAAGGCGTGATCAAGAAAGAAGAATCAGAGTAGCTGAAGAAATGGGGAGGTGAAACTCAAGCTTATCAGAACGAGCAGTTGCCAGATCAGCAATATACATGCCCCAAGTCGTCCTTGTTTCAGATTTGAGGAGTGTTATCAAAAGGGGCCAAGTCAAGAACAAGTGGAGCAGTTCTACAGGAGGAATGGCGAAATACGTCACCAATAAGACCAGATGATTTTTGAAGCGTAAAAAATTTTCTTTATTTCGTGAATTGCTTGAGCGTTACAACAAAT